GATTTGTAAATAGCAATGTTTCAGGCGTGCTGTACGTAATTTCTAAAAGATTTGTGTGGTATAAATGTAGAAAGTTAAACTTTAGGTGTTTAGATATTCTAAATACGAAGGAATTGTGTGGTGGTATGTATGTAAAATGCTCCCTTATAAAATTTATTTGATTTTTTTTTTTTTTTTTTTTTTCCTTAAGGCATAATTCTCAGGCATAATTGGGCTGCAGGCTTGACATCGTCGGTGCCTCTTTCGGTTTCTGGTAAATTTGTACTGCGTTAAATAAGAAGCCATTAGGGATTTTGGACAAAATGCTATTGGCATTCGCGATTCTACGTAAAGTATGAGGAGTCTTTTTGTGCTATGTTTGAACTTCGGATTTCAATTGATATGTTAAGGTGGTCGGTCTGTGTATTTTACTGAGATGGATTTACAACTGTTCCATTAATTATTGGTAGATCATGTCTCTCGACATAAAATTTTAAATATTTATTTGCTAATTTTAATGATATTTGTGTAAATTTAACGGGAAAAAGTTATTGCAAAATTTAGTAGGATTTAATAAATCGTATTCTTTTGTTGGATTTATTAAATTTGGATTACAACCGAGTTTAAGGTGAAGTTCTAGAAAAAAATATTGCATCAGGGCTCCGCATGTAGAGTTATGTGCGAAGTTCAATGAAATCACGCTATTTGGAGGTGTCAGAAAAAAAAAATCGGTCTGATAACACATGAAAATATTCTATCTGTGTCATTTAAGTGTTATTGTATGTTATTTAGGTGTTATTGTGTTCTAAGAATATTCTCCGTGTTATAATAATATAATAACACATACATAACACTTGAATAACACACAATAACACTCAAGCAATACGGGAAGAATATTTTCTTGTGTTACTGGATATTTTATTTATTTATTTTGTCACTGTCACGTGGTGTGATTTCATTGGACTCCGTATGTAACTCTACGTGCGGAGTACTGATGTAATATTTTCTCGAAGTTCTAACCTTAGAAATTTCATAAAAGAATGGTAAAATTATTTATTGTCATTGCTATTTTTTAAAATTAGTTATAACTAATTTGAGTAACAGCCCTTAATAACTATGTTACTAAAATTTAGGAAATATTTTTACCACTAAAAATTATATGTTTTCAACAATGTGTTTTTAAATAATAATAATATGGAACTTCAACAATATTTGGTGACTTAGGCTAAGTAGTTAAAGCTACCAAAGAACTCAATTGTATCAACTACATAACTTAAAAGCTCACAAAATAGGAGTTGTTACATAAAATATTTAACATACTTCTTTTCCTTTCTATAATTACATTAACATATAATATAAAATTTCTCATCTTTTTTTTTACTGCACAAATAAATAATTCTAATTTCTAGTTGTATTATTATTATTATTATTTTTTAATGTGGCTTAAAGTATAATTGATATAGATTTTCAGCAATTCCATATGCTACTTAATTTGTGGTAAGCTTAGTAGTAACAAACCTGTTACCTGTTTTTAAATTAAGCTCTTTTAACTTATTTTCAATCAGTAAGGAATTTAAGGAAAAAAAAAAGTATTTTCTTATATGGAACGAGCATATTTAAAAAAAAAAAATTCTCATTATTTATTATTACACAAATGATAAAAATTTCTACATTCTATCAACACAATTAGAGCTGTAAATGAATCAAAACACTTATGAATAACTCAAATTTGGTTCACTTAATACTCAATCTTGTTTGTTCAAATTAATAAATAAATATATTAGAACATTTTTTTTTAAATTTGGAGCTTAGATGTATTAAATTTGGATATAGCTTAACTCGCTTGTTTAATGTTCACAAACATATTCATTTGTTATCCTTTGATGTTCACGAGGAATGATCGAAGGTTATTAGATGAGCCCTGACCATCTCTAGGTGTGTTAAATATTCTAGTGTCAAACCCTACACATGTTTATTTGTTTTATATGAAAAATTATGTACCAATCAAATGATTAACTTTATATGGAAAATTAAGTATTCACTTGAATTTTAGCATTTTAATTAATATAAACAAGTCGAGTATATATCAAATATAGATATTAAAAATTTTATGCAAGCTAAATACAAACTTATTTTGAAGCTCGTTTTAAGCTCAGGAAGAATATTAACAACTTATGATTCGACTAAGTCAAGTCTAAACAATGACATGCTATAAGAGCCGATCTTTAGTAAACTAAACTTGTGGTTCGTGTCAAAAATGGCTAGTGAACAATTTATTTATGTTTGCTTCGAAAAAAAGTTCCCGTTCATTGTGAGTTCGTGCTCGACTCAAATTGGCTCATTTAAGTTAATTAAAAAAATAATATAGAGCATTGGATTTGAACATGCACCATTCAAATGCAATAATAATTAAAGAATTACAAGATCTCACACTAGATATAATGATTTAAATTTAAGTATAAATATATATAATCTATTACATTTTAAATAAATAAATAAATAAATATTATTCACTCAAACACTAACAAAGAACATATTAGTCACGAATTACCTAGAACCGGCAGAACACGATAAGAGAAACTCTCAATCACTTCGAGGTGGGAGATGATGGAAATCAGGGGATCCCCACCGCCGCCGGGGGGGGGGAGTGACCGCAGCCTCCTCGTCTCTTCTTCTTTTCTTTCCCCATCCGAACGCCCGCCATTATTGTAACTTCGAGCTTATCATTCTCCCTGTCCCGATTCGCCCCCGTTGATCCATTCCGCTCCTCGAAACCTCGCCGCGAACGCGTCCATCACTCCGTCTCCGGCATCCCGGAGGAGGAAGGCTCGGAAACCCTAGTTCAAGACCTTCAGGTACCAGAAGCTTGGCTTGTTCCTTCCAAAGCCCTCGAGGTGAGTATCATTTGTACTTCAGCTACATTTGGTTTTAGAGAAAAGTGCGGCTTCTTGATTGGTTGTTTCAGAAGAGAGCAGGAACATGGCAATTGGCATTCTTGATGAGAAAAGAGTATTTACATAAATATACTATCCAATTTATATGTATTTATATATCTTACACTTAAATTTTATTTTTTTTTATTTTTTTACATTTATACCACTTAAATCTTTGGTATCAATAAAAAAGATCACAGTTTTAACTTGGAAAAGTTGAAAGGGACCTTTTCATGCATAGATATGGTGGTGTATAAGTAAAAAAAATAAAGTTTTGGTTTTAGATTTGTAAATACGTAGTGATGCGTGCTAGAAAATTCGCGGCGGGAGAGGGAAGATATACAGTTCTTCCTTCAACACACACACGGATGAAAGAGAAACAAGCGGTGATGACTCCAAAAGTTTTTACGTAGAAAACTCGTAAGGGAAAAATCACAAAACCTGACCCAGTTGCGGAAATCCATTATTGATTGATGATTACAAAAATCTCATCCCACAGACTGAAAATGGTAACTATATTTTTTAGATTACAACGTCGACTGATGACGTCTAGTTGGTGATGATCGATGATAGTTAGTGGTAGTTGATGACGGTTTGCAGAGGTCAACGACAATCGGTGGTGGTCGTCGGATGTCAGCGGTGGTCGAAGATTATCGGCGATAATGCTGAGCTGCAACTTCTCCTTCAGGCCTCAGGCTCTCTCTCTAGACTTTAGTTTCCCCTCATGTGAGGGGGGGTGGGCTATTTTGTGTTCTGATTGCAATTAATGCAGGAATATCAACAATGTTGATCGGACGGTACATAGAGTTTCCATCGATTATGCATCATTTAATAGGCATTTGAGTGCTTTAACGATGTCGGAAATGAGGGATCTTGGGCTTGTTGGATTTGTCTTATTGAGACGCTTGATTCAAGTATATGCTTGTTAGTGTCGACATTTGTTTGACCTTCCAAATGTGTCTAAAATCTTTTAAAAGTGGTTTAATGACTTGATTTGAGCTTGATTTGACTCGAATTGAACTAGTTTTTATATCATTAAATCGGTCTCATTGAGTCGGTCAGTTTGATTATAAGTTTGCTGGAATCATAACTCTGGATGAATTTTTATCAAGATTTGAACTTTTCTTGCTCAAAATATCATCTTGGGATCCGTGCAATGTCTTGAGATTCGTTGTGGATGATGAAAATTTGTTGGTGACGTATCAGTTGCCTCCCTAGTTTCGGGCGAGACCATTTTTATCGTCCAAAATTATTAAGATCTGAAGCATTTATGTCCTGCATACGTATCAATATATATTATTTTATTAGTATCGATATAAGAATATTTTTTTCTTATATGTTAAGAAGTTAAAAACAACTGAGTTGGTAAGTTTTTTTGCTTCATGAGAGGGTGACATGGTTCGAGTACTGCCCTAGACAGGTCGCTTGTGAGCCTGAAACTAAAAAGATGGGCCCGAAATGCAGAGTTGGGGAACTCGAGAATTTTTTTTGTTGTTGCATTTTTTTTGGAAGATGAAAATTTTTTCATTTTTTTATGACATTTAATGTTTGCACTTCTTTTTAAATCTACTTAATAACAAATATTTACTTTTTCACTTCTTTTTAAACTTTATTTAATAACAAATATTTAATTTTTCACTTCTTTTTTAAGTCTATAATAATGACCTCTTAATGGTTAAATCCCTTTTGGAGCCTATAAATAGGAGTTGAAGGAAAGAGTAGAGGTGCAATGGTGCGTCGTAGCGACGCGTTGTGGTGGCGGCGACGTGTTACAGCAATGCGTTGCTTTGTGACGGTGCATTGCAGCGATGTGTTGTAGCGCGGTGACGCGTTGTGGCAGTGCATCACATCGACGTGCTGGGCGGAGCATCGCAGTGGTGTGACGCGTTGGATGTCCAATGTCATTTAAGAAGATTAATGTTGGTATAAATTGCCAACGACCTTTTACTTGGTTGAGCTTATGCATCAGAGTATTACTCAGTGATGTTTAACATATATGAGAGGAGTCAAAGAAAGTCCTCCGAGTACTTATTAACCCTAACCCATCTAAGGTTGTTTGCTGGAGCATGACTCACTTATGAAACGTGTGGAAGGGATCAGGTGTAGTCCACTAAAAATTGTTAACCTATTCAGATCAAATCCCTTTGTGATCGATCGTGCTCTGACTAAGATACAACCAGAGTTGTGTATTTTTCTGGTCGAGAAAATAAAGTGACTCGTGAATGACTCGTCATACTTTCTAAAGATATTTTTTTTTGTAGATGAAAACAATAAAATAAGTTTGAGATATATTGACATTGTATGCAATATGACATAGATGATGTGACTCAAGTGTTACTGGTAGTATTTTTGAAGATTCTCGGCATTTCAAGTTCGGGGCAGGATTTTTCCATCTGAGACTTTGAGCTTGAAGGTTCCAGGCTTGATCATGATAGCCATGATATATGGGTCTTCCCATAGAGGGGATAATTTGTTGCATTGGAGACCATGATCAGCGGCTTCAATACTACGCAAAATCAGGTCACCAATTGAGATAGGTCGAGGCTTTACTCTTCGGTTGAAGTGACGAGCAATTCTTTGGTGGTAGGAAGCTGCTCTGAGGTGGGCCACATCGCGTATTTTCGAGAGAAGATCCAACTGTTGTCGGAGCTTTTCTTCATTGTTATCTGAGGCAAAGTCTTGACTTGGGGGTTTTAAGTCGAAAGTCTTGACTCGGAAATTTGGAACCTTTATTGTTATCCAAGTCGAAAGTCTTGACTCGGAAATTTGGAACTCCGATATCAACGGAGATGAAAGTCTCGGTGCCGAAACACAAGTTATATGGAGTTTCCCTGGTAGGAGTTCGTGAGGTGAACGATAGGCCCAGAGGACGTTATGCAGCCTTCTACCCACTACCCCCAGCCTTCTCAAGACGAGTCTTCAACCCCTTGAGCATCGTTCTATTTGTCACATTTGTCTGTCAATTCGTTTGGGGATGCGCCACAGCAGTGTGCACCAATTGAATGTGAAGATCCTTGTAGAATGATGTAATGACCCTTCCAGTGAATTGAGTATCATTATCAGTGATAATCTTCACGGGAAGCCTAAAGCGACAAATGATGTTTTTCCAGACAAACTGTTTGACATTGGCCACAGTGATCTTGGCAAGAGGCTCTGCTTCTACTCATTTGGTGAAGTAGTCGACAAATAAGATGATGAATTTTCGTTGTCCAGTAGCTATCGGAAACCCCATGATATTTACCCCAATTGGGTGAAAGACCAAGAACTCAGAAAAGATGTGAGTTCTACTGGCGGTGCATGCACAAGATTGGAGTGTAGTTGACAATTTTTGCATTTTTGCACAAACTCTATTGCATCTTGCTTGATCGTGGGCTAGTAGAAGCCTTGTCTCATTATTTTAAGAGCAAGTGCTCTGTCACCAAGATGCTCCCCACATATTCCAGAATGAACTTCTCGTAGAGCGTAATCAGCTTCAGATGGAGGAAGACACTTGAGATATGGACCTACAAATGTCTTCTGATACAGTTCATCCCCTATATGGGTGGAGTTGGCAGTCATGCGTCAGATGCGAATTGACGTAGTAGAGTCATCTGACAGTGTTCCGTCTCGGAGGAAGGAGATGATGGGATCCATCCAAGATGGCTCCCTTGGGTCATCTATAGACAGTATCACCCATTGGTCATGGATGCTAAGAAAATGTATCTCCTCAATACACCTTTTATAGAGATCTCCAGTTGTTGAAGTTGCAAGACATCAGCCCAGGTGTTATGCTCCTGAAGTATGTGAATGAGCTGTATGTTTCAATTTGGGCGAGAAGTGTTTTTACCAAACTGAGATATTGCATCAGTTGTGAGTTATGAGCGTCAAATTCTCCTTCTACCTAGGATGCGATGATTTGAGAATCAGTGTAGATAATCATGTTTCATACTTCACAGTTGATGACAAGCTTTGATCCGACGACAAGTGCTTCATATTCGACAACATTATTGGTGACTGGGAATTTCAAACGAAGTTCGTACTCCAAAATATTTTTCTTTGGGGAGATGAGTAATATTCCTGCACCAGCTCCTGAGTTTCCGGATGTTCCGTCTACGTATAGTGTCCACTGAGGTGACCGTGGAAGAGAAGGTGGTTCATCAGAGGTAGACACTGTACATTCTACCACAAAGTCGGCCAACACCTATGAATTGATGTGTGGGCGTGGTAAATAATGGATGTCAAATTCTTCTAATTCTACTGATCATTTAACTAATCTTCCTGATGCTTCTAGTTTTGGTAGGATAGTCTTCAAAGGGAGTTGCGTGTAGACACCGATAGTGTGAGCCTGGAAGTACGGACGAAGTATCCTTGCTAAGAATATCAGGGCTAGCGCAGTTTTGTCTGCCAATGAATAGCGACTTTCTACATCAAAGAGAATCTTGCTAACGTAATATATTGGTTTGTCGACTGAGTTTTCTATTCTGACAAGAACAGAGCTTATTGCATGAGGTGAAATGACCAAATAGATATATAACATCTCTCATTTTATGGGCTTTGAGAGGAGGGGCGGTGAAGCCAAATATGCCTTGAGTTGCTCGAAAGCAATATGAAAATTATTCGTCCACTGAAAACCGGTGTTCCGAGCACATCTGAGTATCTTGAAGAATGACAGATACTTATCCCCAAAATAAGCTAAGAAGCGGGATAAGTGGCTATACGGTCATTCAACCGTTGTACCTCTTTGATGTTTTTTGGAGGCATCATATCCCTCAGCGCTTTAATTTTTTCTGGTTTTGCTTCAATTCCACAATGGATAACCATGAATCCCAAAAATTTCCCTGATGTCACTCCAAAAGCACATTTAGTCAGGTTAAGTCGTAAATTGTATTGACGAAGAAGTTGGAAACACTCCTCCAGATGAGAAGTGTGGTGGGATGCTTCCAGACTTTTTACTAACATGTCATCAATGTAAACCTCCATTG